GTCGAACTAGGATCTTTCAACAAAATGATAAATGAATGGCTGATTCAGCAACGTACACAGGATTTCATATCAGGGGGGCCCGGTAGTGCAAAATGAAAAAATTCGCTGTTGCAAACATAAATTTACTGTGGAAAAATTTAATTTGGGTACGTTCCTGGGTTGATTTACTTTACACTAAAGAAGTTGGATCATCCCCAAATAACACAATTGATGAATATAAAATATGTTTTTAAATTATATTATTTATATTTTGTAATAAACAAATACGAATTTAACATGTGCACAAATGACCAATATTAACCCTTTATGGCCCAATGTTGCCTACAGACAAGAACATGTTTTAGAGCTTATATTTATTATACAGCTAGTAGGATTTCCAGATTATGGACGACACACATCAGAATCAAAATTTTGGAAAGGTTATGATGAGCCTCTATGATAACCTCTTCAGCCCCGAATTTTTTGCTATCTTAGAACAATATTCTGTTCATAGATTTAATACAACTATCCTAAATAGGATATGCACAAAATTTTACATCGTACATTCTTTCGGAAAAATTAAAGTCCAATATCAAGAAAACCAAATGCAAAATCGACAGAAAATTCTGATGGCAGAATTCGTATATTTTGAATTCGAAGCGATTTAAATAATTTTAACTGTATACACAAATTAGTATTGTACACATTTTTACCATCTTCTCTATATTGAATAGCTCATAACTTTACCCACATTTGGAATTTTTTTAATTGTTTATTGATATGTGTCGTCCATAATCAGGTCTTGACACATGAAATCCAAATAATATATATCTGCTAGCTTTATATTAAATATAAGCTCTAAAATATTTTGTTGCCTGTGGGCAACATTGGGTCACAAAGGGTTAATATGAGGTGTAAACAGTCCAAATTATTTAAATGGTTTCGAATTCGAAATATAAGAATTCTGCATCAAATTTTGTCCATATCCTATTTAGGAATCAAAATCCTATAACAAGAATCAAAAATAATTTTGAGGGTAGAATTTGTACAATTTGAATACGAAGCGATTTAAATAATTTGGACTGTATACACAAATTAGTACTGTACACAAATTTACCCTCTTCTCTATATTGAAAAGCTCATAACTTTACCAAAATTTTGAATTTGTTTGATGTTTTTTTTGATATGTGCCGTCCATAATCAGGTCTTGACATATGAAATCCAAATAATACATATCTACTGGCTGCATATAAAATATAAGCTCTAAAATATTTTGTTGCCCGTGGGCAACATTGGGCCACAAAGGGTTAAAGTAAACATTGTTTTTATGCCCATAGCCATATGACTAATGATACGGTGAAAATGTGCCTCATCGAAATATTGGTTTTAGACCCCATGTTTCTTTGGACCAAATAAGTTTTAGAAAATTTGGAGTTGATTTACACATGTCCGTCCGTTGTCCGTCTGGCTGGTGCGCACCATAACTCTCGAAGAGAATAATCGATTTCATCCAAACTTTGCACATCTTAACCCTTTTCCGTGACCATAGAATGATTTTATGTGCACTGATTTAATGCAACTGTTCTACATAGAATTTGAACAAAATTTGACGTCGCAACATCCTTGCATTCGGAAGATACAGTACATTATTTCTGGAAAATAAAAGACCAATAACAAGAAAACCAAATGCAAAATCAACGGAAACATCATTTTAAATTATTCTCTATATTCTTTTTTACAAGAATCAAAAATAATTCTTATGGCAGAATTCATACAATTCGAATACGAATTTAAATAATTTGGACTGTATACACAAATTAGTGCTGCACCCTTTTTGCCCCCTTCTCTGTATTGAAAAGCTTTGCCAAAAATTTGAATTTTTTAGATTTTTCTATTGATGTTTGTCGTCCATAATTAGGTCTTGACATATGTATTCCAAAAAATATATATTGACTAGCTGTGTATTAATCCTTTGTGGCCCAATGATGCCCACAGGCAACAAAATGTTTTAAAGCTTATATTTAATATACATCTAGCAGATATATATTATTTGGATTTCATGTGTCAAGACCTGATTATGTACGACACATATCATAAGAAAACTTAAGCTTTTCAATATAGAGAAGAGGAAAAAGTTATGTACAGTACTAATTTATGTATACAGTCCAAATTATTTAAATCGCTTCGTATTCAAAATGTACGAATTCTGCCATCAAATTTATTTTTAATTCTTGTAAAACGGAATACAGAGAATAATTTAAAATGATTTTTTCGTCGATTTTTCATTTGGGTTTCTTGATATTGGGATTTTATTTTTCAGAAAGAATGTACTGTATCTCCAGAATGCAAGGATGTAGCGATGTCAAATTTTGTCCATATCCTATCTAGGATAGTTGCATTAAATCTGTGAACAGAAAATTGTTCTATGATTACGGAAAAATATTCGGGGCTCAAAGGGTTAATTTTTCCGAAAGAATGTACTGTATCACCTGAATGATAGTTGTATTAAATATATGAACAAAAATTTGTTCTAAGATAGCGGAAAAATATTCGGGGCTCGAAGGGTTAAATATAAGCTCTAACACATTTTGTTGCCTGTAGGCAACATTAGGCCATAAAGGGTTAATATTTCTTCCAAATTATTTAACGTCTTGTTAACTAATTTTATATATTTATAAATGTTCTTTTTATTTACATACTATTATTTTTATTCAAAATATACATCTTCCGTTTTTGTCATCTATTTCCATTTTCACAATTTTTGTAGCCTTACCATACCACTATTGAAGGCGAACATTTTTCAAATTCACCTTATACTTACTTCAATGATTTTCCAATCAAAACTACAAAAATGTATTTGTTTTTTTCCTATTTTAATTTGTATATAATTTTACATAATATAGATTTTATATGTACATAATAATCGAAAAAAAAAAAATTAAAAAATCCAATATCTACATAAACATTATTATAGATCCGTCTGAGAGTTCTCTTCGGGTATAGTGCACAAAGCTGAACAATTTACCGAGTCCATAAGCAAATTTGTTGATCCAATTAATTGACTAGAAGCAACTTCTTCAGTCATCTCTTGACTACTTTCTTCACAGGGCGAGTTCGATAGTTTTTGTCAACTAGAACCTATTTCAAGTACTGTTATCTATTTACACAAGAAGCGAGGGAGAATGAAAATGAGAAAAATAATGGAATATGTTTTAGTACAATTTAATTAGCATACAAACAAGTATGTCAGATTATTGTTGTAATAACCTGCTAGCAATGGAATTTCTAATTGATGGTATGTAACCAGGGACCGAAAATAACAGTTATTTTTTAAAATGCGAACAAAAAAATCTTCATGTTAGAGACATGGGACACTAATAGTGTCATATACCAATAGATTCGTACTGAGGAGCCCATTGAGGATATTGAGTGATCTTGAGAAAACACTCTCAGTTCCCATGTTAAGGATTATTTTTTAACGGAAAAAATAAACGTTGATTTTTAACTGTTAAAAATGATTTTTATTTTTTCCGTCAAAAATAAAAGTCTAATTGCGATTTTTATTTTTTCCGTCAAAAATAAAAGGTTTTATTTTTTCCGTCAAAAATAACATACTTTTTGGGATTTTTATTTTTTCCGTCAGAAAATAAAAGTCCTTTTGGGATTTTTATTTTTCCGTCAGGAAATAAAACTCTTTTTATGTAAAGAAGTTTATACAACTTGTAATCTGTTATAAAATTACAATTTATAAATCTCTGTCCTTATTACAATAAGTGTACACATAAGTAATCAAGATCAAAGGTAAAAAATATTTGTTATAAATTTTTAAAAAATAGTCTAGTGTACCAAATCATGAATATAAATTAAAGAATCATTTCCCTGACTATTAGGTCAAAGGTTATATAACTGGTACCAAACTCTATATGTTTATTTACGTAAAAAGACTTTTATTTTCTGACGGAAAAAATAAAAATCACAAAAAGACTTTTATTTTTGACGGAAAAAATAAAAGTCCCAAAAAGACTTTTATTTTTGACGGAAAAAATAAAAGTCCCAAAAGACTGTTATTTTACACGGAAAAAATAAAAGTGTAAAAGACTTTTATTTTTGACGGAAAAAATAAAAATCCCAAAAAGACTTTTATTTTTGACGGAAAAAATAAAAATCATTTTTAACAGTTAAAAATCAACGTTTATTTTTTCCGTTAAAAAATAATTAATTAAAGTGGATTTTTTTTATTTAGGTCACATAATAACAGTTATTTTTTACCTGATTTGATATAAGTTATAACCGTTACGGTCCCTGTATGTAACTAGTCCCAGCATTAGTTATTAACAATACAAATTAATAATTTGATCCTAAAGATAACCTACAGTAATATAAACCGAACCAATTGACGACTATTTTATCCTGTGGTAAGGTGTATCTTGCGATTAAAGCATAAAGTTCGGCCGGGCCACACCACCACATGTATACTGACAGATACTTGCAATGAAAATATAGGGAGCATACCAAAAAGTGGGCTTACACCGATAATTCTAGAAACCGATTTATGTAAACCATTATGTACAACAAATGCAAATTTCAGCAATTTTTAATGGGGATTTTTCCTAAAATCTGAAAACCCCAAAGCGTGGATTGATACTAATAACGCATTGTAGAGTATACAATCCTCAAACTACTGCAATTTAGATTGCAAAGTTACATGAGGCTATGCCTAAAGGGGACCAATATTTGCACTGTTTCCGTACTGCAAAAATCTGCTATTTTTTACTACGATAAGGAATTTTCCTTTATGATATCGAAGAAAATTGTAAAATGTATATTTTGCAGGGTTATAGAATTATAATTGGGGTTATCATTATATGAGGGCTATGCCTAATTAGTAACCGATATATGTCAATTTCGAACCCAATATTTTAGTTTTGTATATCAATTATTTCTTTCAGGAGACCGATATATTTCATTATCGCCAGGTTTGAGTTTTTCTGTCCTTAGTTTTTCTATCCCAACACGCGGAACTAATCGGCTAACTATTTTAATACAAAAAAGGGGGTTATGTGGGAACTACCCCTAAAAAGGGTCGAATACAAATAATTTTTTGGTAGGGAGGTTTGTTACCATAAGCGAATACGAAATACCAAATTACAGCGTATTTGGTTGAAAACGTACCTAAAAACGTTACTCAAAAATACCGACAATTTGGGGGTACCGTTATATGGGGGCTACCAGAAAAAGTGGACCTATATTTATAATGTTTAAAACGCGCCCAAGAACCCCAAAATACAGGTACAGGGGGGTACCGTTATATGGGAGCTATCTTCAAACTGCCTGCATACAAAAGACAATCCTATGCAAAATTTCAGCACCCTATCTCAATTCATTCAGAAGATAGCATGATTACAACAGACGGACGGACGGACATGGCTATATCGTCTTACAATTTTACTCTGATAAAGAATATAAATACTTTATAGAGTCGGAAATTAATATTTCGATGAGTTAGAAACGGAATGACAAAATTAATATACCCTCCATACTACCCTCCATACATGTGTGTCCGTCCGTCTGTCTGTCCATTGCAATTTGTAAACACGATGCAGCCACAGTTATGGACCAATCGTCACGAATTTTTGCAATATGATGGGGTCTGACACAACCAAAATTTTAGACCAGGAAGGGGATATAGCCATAGAATAAGCATGACTGCTTTGAAGAAAGTCGGCCAATATTTAGCGGACCAAATGGATCCAGACTTTTGTGTGAAAAATGACAAAATTTATATTCTGGAGGAGTGGTTGACCATTAAACTGATACCAATTATATTGTTATATTTACTCGCTGATCGCTTTAAAATTTTACATGAAGTTCCGCTTATGGACAGAGACGCCTATAATGTTAAAAGGAGTGCAAAGAACCAAAAACTTTATTTTTGTTAGATTTTCCAATAGCTCAAGAGGCCATCACCTGTTTTACACGGTGAAGGGTATCCCACCAAATACTTAGAACGACTGTTTAGATAATTATTAGTCAATATTCGGAGGTTAAATCAACCAAAACCTATAGTGACCAAATTTGTATTTTATGGCGTTTATATTCCCCCCGGGAAAACAAGATTTGGAAAATATGCCTGGGTTAGAAAGTAGAGCCGTTGACCGATAATCTGTTGCAAATATCGCGAAATATTTTCCAGACTCAGAACATAGAGCCGCAGAAAGATTTTTGTGGTAGTTGTGTGAGTATCATATGGTCTGCCCCTCTGACTATACTGCTCCGCTCACTGGTTTTTATTATTCGTCTTTAGGACAATTCATCGTTAAATTTTTTATGTTTGACAGCGAAGCATAACACGAAACATGCGTAATATATTTCGTATTTCTGATTTTAGATGTTCAAGTGAGCAGACAGACAAACATGTACATACTTCGTTGTCTTCTAATATTGCCATTTTTGCAATTCAGATATATTGGCACACTCATACCCATTTTGGTAATTCATATTTTAAATATAGAAGTACATAAAATGTTATTTGTAATGGTACCTATATTCGTTAAAAGCATTCGACGTTCCCATTAGCAGCGCCCTATATGATTGTATATTAAGACTATTTGTTCACACATACAAATGGGTCTCATTAGCACAAACAATACTACATATAAATTATGATATAACATTTTATTTACACCCACCTGAGGTCCACCTAGACATTCTCTAATGCGATACAATTGATATTGCGATATCACACACAAAATACAATAAACCTGTAAGAAATAATATGGATTTTATGCAAATATTGAATATTACATTTCACTGATTAAATATGACCACATAAAAAGAAAACGACAAAAAAAACTTACATTTAATGTAGTTATGAATAGAATTAACGTGAAAATGAAACCATTTACTGGGTCAAATGTCACACTGCGATATATCAAAAAATAACCAATGTAAAAACACTCCACAATTATGTCGGTGACCATCATCAGAATCCATGGCAATAGAAGTTCGCGTTTTTTCTGTAAATATATTGAACGGGTGATTAGTAAATAAACATGTTTTTGTTTCGCATTTGTGTATGGCAATTATGTCCGTTACGATGTACGAGTATGTAAATTACATTACTATTTATTTCATATGCATTATATTGACTCTTTATCGTTGTTGCCTAGGGTCACGTACTGTAAAAATTAAATATAGTTTACATAGTCAATTATTATCATAACTCACAAAACTACATTTTGTTCAAATTGTATTGTTACTGTGTCATTGTTGTATCAATTGGAAATATGGCCAATCGTTTTTATACCCTACACAACTATGTTGTCAGGGTATTATAGCTTTGTGCAGCCCCAAGAGTCTGTAACGCAGCGAAATATTGGTCCTAGACCCACCTCGACTAGCTGAGTCGATCTAGACATGTGTGTCCGTCCGTCCGTCTGTCCATTAGAATTTGTAAACGCGATACAGGCCACAGTTATGGACCAATCTTCACGAAATTTTGCATGTAGGATGGGTTCTGGCCAATGAACACCCCTATTGTTTTTGGTAAAGATCGGTTAATACTTAGGGGGTGAAATGGACCAAAAACTTTATTTTTGTCTGATTTTCTGGTCGCTCCAGAGGCCGCAATTATGGCCCAAACATCGTGAATTTTTACATGGAGATGGGGATCGAGCCAAACAATAAGCATGCCTCTTTTGATAAAGATCGGTCAATATTTAGCGGGTCAAATGGACCCTGACTTTTGCGTGAAAAATTGCAAAATTTGTATTCTATAGCGTATACATTTACCCCTGAAGGATGTAGAGCCAAGAAGTTGAAAATATATCCAAGAGGAGTGGTTGGCCTTCAAATTGATACCAATTACGTTGTCGTATGTACTCAGATGTGGGAGTTACACTTAAATATTCACAGGTGCTTACGTATTCAAATATTATTTAGTAACCCATTAACCCCTAGAAACCGAAAATATAGCGCTGATCGCTTTGAAATTTTCCATGAGGATCCAGGTATGGACTTTACCGCTCCGCTCACTGGTTTTCATATTCCGGGTCGAACTTTTTATACTCTCTAACATAAATATGTAAAATGACTGCATCTAGGAGAAAACTTATGTTATAAATTACAGCCAATTTGATTGAAAAACTTGTCCAAAATCCCAAAATGTTCGAAGAATCCTGTTATTAGGGGTCTACCCTTAAACTTGAACCAATATCAATAATTTTTTCGTGTGTCCAAAATCCCGAAATTACCGAATATTGGAAATTTCCGCTGTATGGGGGCTACCTTGGAACTTCGGTCAATATTAACAATTTTTAGTACGGAGATGTAATATACAATGGGAACCCAAAATCCTTATTTAAAGCCAACTCGGTTGAAAAACGTGTCCAAAATCCCGAAAATACCGAATATTGGGGAGTACCGTTATGTGGGAGCTACCCTGGAACTTGAGTCAATATTAATAATTTTTTGTACGGAGATTTGGAAGGCAGTGGAGATGGCTCTTTAAGCCATTAAATCTGAGGTCGTCATGAGCTATCGATTTTGCTGCGATATTATGGGAAATGAAAAAAAAACAGACGAACTAGTTAGCCGAGGATCTATCTGACTAACTCTGTCGGCCAAGAAAACTAACTCGTTTTTGAACCTGAGCAAAGCCGAAATAATAAGCTGAATCCTTTCTTCTCTTTTAATCTATTGTATTTTCTCTCTACTTTTTCCTTGATCACAATGGAACGAAAGGTCTCCATTTAATGACTGTGTACTCCCTAACCTAACACATGTCATTCTAGACTTAACAGTACGTTTACATTTAACCGGATTTCGTTAACCCAGTGGGTTTCAGTTGTTATTCCTTTGCATATATGTCAAATAAATCCTCATAAAGTAGGTTAACCCGGTAAAAAGTTCTAATGTACAAGGAGTTTAACTCCTTACGAACCTAAGTAGGTTAGTTCACTATTTACATAAAATCGGCCGAACATATATATGAGCCGATTCTCACCATTTTAAATGAAGAGGCAAATCGCCTATCATTCTAATAATAAACAAGTTTGACACTCTTTTTACTAAAATACAAGCACAGATGGATGGGCATGCATAATTTCATTCGGAAAGTAATTGTAAATATGCTCAAAGAAAACATTTAGAAAAGGTTTTTTTTCGAAATCGAATAACTTCGAAGAGAAAAAGTTAACACTTTCTTTACAAAAGCACAAGCACAGATGAACGGACATGCACAATTCCATTCGGAGAGTAATTCTAACTATGCACAATGGAAACATTTCGAAATGGTTTATTCGAATAACTTCGAAGAACAAAATCGATAGATTTTGAGCCGGTTTGGATAAACCTTCGTTTACTAAGATCTCTGGTACAGTAGACACGCGATCTGTAAGTACTGTTTTTTTTTTTTTTTTGCTATTTTCATAAAGTAAAATAAATAACCATATCTAAATGATTAGAATGTTTATTCTTAGAATATGATAATTTTGTTATTAATACATACTTATATATGTACGTTTAATTTACTTACCCTCTTCAAGCCAAATATTAACAATACTGCTGAAAATAGTAATCCCATTGAAACTGTCAACGTTATAATATTAAATACCACATGCGCTGTAAAAGAAACATTAAATTATCGAATTAATTGGAAATGTGTCGAAACGTGATATACAGAATTCAATTACTTTTTGTTATGTCACCTTTTTCAATTATAGTCTCCCCACGGGGTTTCTCTCGCTTACCCAGAATAAAGTCCCATTCATCGATAAGACCCATTATGCCAATTAATGCTGAGAAGCCATAATAAATCTATAGGAAATAAGAGTAAACGGAATCATATGTAAAACCAGTGACCGGAGCAGTATAGTCGGACGTCGCCGACCATATGATACCCTACACAACTTCCAAGAATATCTAACTTTCAGTGGTTCTATATTCTGAGCTTGGTCAAAATTTCGTGATATTTGCACCCTCATGACCGACTAGAGGTCAATAAATATTACTAATATTCAGTACAGCCCTTCTAATTGCTTGTCCAGATTCCCTTCACCGTGGGTTGTGTTGTGATGTTCGGCTTTCAATTGTGGTCTATAGATTGTCTCGAAAAAAACACAAAAATTAAGTTTTCGCTCCATTTCATCTAAAAAATATTATCTGGTCATCACCGAAAATTGTAGGCATTGTCATTGACCATATCTGGACCCTCATGAAAATGTTCAAAGAGATCAGCGCTATATTCAAAGAGATCAGCGCTATTCTTTAATTTGCTTAAGATACAGCTCGCATATATTCCAAATATAGATATAGCTCCCATATATATTTTCGTCAGATTTTACCTTTTGGATAAAGCTTGCCCTAATATTATTGCCTATTATTGGTCAATGATAACGCATCAGTTCACTCATCACAGCATGTGTATATCCCATTTTCAATACCATCCTAGGAATATTAGCATTGTGCAAAATTTCGAATATCTGTCTTCAATATCGCGAGCTATATATACATGGCTATATCGACATAGAATTTTATTCTGATTATGAATAAATAGGATATCAGGTGAATATTTCCAGGTTTTGCAAGCAAATGTTAAGAAATACAGATAAGCGAAATTCCTTCTATAAACTTTTTAGCATTTTTATTTTTTAAATTTCTTAGCACTTTTCTAGCATTTTTTAGCAACACTGGCCACAGCATTCACCGGACTAGCCTGCCGCTGAATTTTTCTTTTCCCAAAACTAAAGGTACCGATGAAAGGACAGATTATTGCTATGTGCATCTGAAAGGATTCAGAGCGTGACCACTTTTAATCAAAACCCACTACTAATTGATTATGATGAAACATTGTAAATGCAGATGCAAATTCCGAGAAATTAAATGTTAGACATCAAAACTGTCAGCCACAATTTGAGACACAATACACCGTCACATAGACTGCGGTACATAATATTATGTATGTAACAGGAAATAAATACACCCACTAAAAATGAAATATTTACGAAGTATTCAATCCCATAAACAGAATTTTTCAACATTTCATATCGATTTATTATTTTTATTGGTTTGTTCCCGTACTGCAAGAATCTACGATTTTTTATTACTTTCGAGTCGAACTTAATGATCTAAGTTTTGCAATGAAAAGGAAAGCCAGGAGAAAAACCACGTACCCACCATATACGACGTGTTTCGCCGTTGGTTAAGCGGCTCATCAGACATATATTGGCTATGTGGCTTTTCTAAGGTCGTATGTTGATTACTTGCACATATTATATGTCCTTTGCTGTCATGGTGTCATCAACAAAATGGGGGTTTCCAACTCCAGCTGCAGAAAAACACCCCCAAACTTGACATTACCAATATGCTTAAATGTGACAATGAAATTATTATTCATACCCTTCAACACACTGTGGTACAGGGCATTATGTCTTTGCGCAAATGTTTGTAACAGGCAAAAGTAAACGAGATAGACACATGGTTCCTTTTGAGAATATGCATAGAATCACTTTCTGAGTCGATTTATGCATGTCCGTCCGTCCATGTATTCTTAAGAGCAAAGTACAGGTCGCATTTATGATTCGAATTGGATGAAATTTGGCACAACCCATTTATTTAGTCCAAGGACAAACCCTATTGAAATTTGAGAAAATCGCTTAAAATTTAAATATAGCTTCCATATATATTTTCGCCCGATTTTATCTAAATGGTGTGCCAAACTCCCAATATTTGTCCGATTGAGACAACATTTTGCACTGTGTACTGAATTAAGTTCAGTTTGATGTCTGTGAAGTTTTGTTAAACTCGGTTCAGATTTAGATATGTCTCCTATATATAGCTTCGTCCGATATTATGTAAATGGTGCACCAAACTCCAACGTAAGGAATTGTGACTAGGATAGAGTGTGTTAAGTTTCATTGAAATCGGATCAGATATAGATATAGCAACTATATATATTCAGACAAAATGTGTCATAACGTATGTAATTGACACTCGAATAAGGTGTCTAAAGTTTCATTAAAATCGGATCAGATATATATATATATAGCTCCCATATATAGCTTCGTCCGATTTTATGTAAATGATGTTCGATTGAGACAAAATATTGCGCAGAGTACCAAGTTAGATATAGCTTCCATATATACATATTTTCGTCCAATTTCATGCAGTGTATTAGATTGAAACATTTTAAAATCAGCTTCCATATATATTTCCATCTGATTTATACCCTTCACCACATTGTGGTAAAGGGTATTATGTCTTTGTGCATATGTTTGTAACAGGCAAAAGGAAACGAGATAGACACATGGTTCCTTTTGAGAATATGCATAGAATCACTTTCTAAGTCGATTTATGCATGTCCGTCCGCCCGTCTGTCTGTCCATGTTAAATTGTAAACAAAGTACAGGTCGCATTTATGATCCGAATTGGATGAAATTTGGAATATGTCACTTATTAGGCCCAAGGACGAACCCTATTGAAATTGGAAAAAATCGGTTCAGATTTAGATATAGCTCCCATATATATATTTAACCGATTTAATGTAATCGGTCCCTATATATCGTTCGATTTGCACGAAATTTGGTACAGCCTAATCATTTAGGTCTAGAATGATGTCTGCCAAGTTTCGTGAAAATCGGTCCGGATTTAGATATAGCTCCCATATATAGTTTCGTCCGATTTCATGTAAATGGTGCACCAAAGTCGCTATATATCTTTCGATTTGCAGGAAATTTGGCATAACGTACTGAATTGAGCCTAGAGTGATGTCTGTCAAGTTTCAAGAAAATCGGTCCAGGTTTAGATATAGCTCCCATATATAGTTTCGTCCGATTTCATGTAAATGGTGCACCAAAGTCGCTATATATCTTTCGATTTGCAGGAAATTTGGCATAACGTACTGAATTGAGCCTAGAGTGATGTCTGTCAAGTTTCAAGAAAATCGGTCCAGGTTTAGATATAGCTCCCATATATAGTTTCGTCCGATTTCATGTAAATGGTGCCCCAAAGTCCCTGTATATCCTTCGATTTGCAGGAAATTTGGCATAACGTACTGAATTGAGCCTAGAATGATGTCTGCCAAGTTTCAAGAAAATCGGTCCAGATTTAGATATAGCTCCCATATATAGTTTCGTCCGATTTCATGTAAATGGTGCCCCAAAGTCCCTATATATCTTTCGATTTGCACAAAATTTGGCATAACGTACTTAATTGAGCCTTGAATGATGTCTGCCAAGTTTCATGAAAATCGGTCCTGATTTAGATATAGCTCCCATATATTGTTTCGTCCGATTTCATGTAAATGGTGCATCAAAGTCGCTATATATCCTTCGATTTGCACGAAATTTGGCATAACGTACTGAATTGAGCCTAGAGTGATGTCTGCCCATTTTCAATACCATCCTAGGAATATTAGCATTGTGCAAAATTTCGAAGATCTGTCTTCAATATCGCGAGCTATATATACATGGCTATATCGACATAGAATTTTATTCTGATTATGAATAAATAGGATATCAGGTGAATATTTCAGGTTTTGCAAGCAAATGTTAAGAAATACAGATAAGCGAAATTCCTTCTATAAACTTTTTAGCATTTTTATTTTTTAAATTTCTTAGCACTTTCTAGCATTTTTTTAAATAAAATCTAGCATTTTTTAATGACAAAAGTTTTAGCAACACTGGCCACAGCATTCACCGGACTAGCCTGCCGCTGAATTTTTCTTTTCCCAAAACTAAAGGTACCGATGAAAGGACAGATTATTGCTATGTGCATCTGAAAGGATTCAGAGCGTGACCACTTTTAATCAAAACCCACTACTAATTGATTATGATGAAACATTGTAAATGTCGGTCCAACAAAATTTTTCTGAGAAACTGGAACTTCATGAAAAATTTCAAAGTCATCAGCGCATAACTGGAACTTCAGTAGATACATCACTATATTTGGATCTTGGATATGCATTAAATGTTAGACATCAAAACTGTCAGCCACAATTTGAGACACAATACACCGTCACATAGACTGCGGTACATAATATTATGTATGTAACAGGAAATAAATACACCCACTAAAAATGAAATATTTACGAAGTATTCAATCCCATAAACAGAATTTTTCAACATTTCATATCGATTTATTATTTTTATTGGTTTGTTCCCGTACTGCAAGAATCTACGATTTTTTACTACTTTCGAGTCGAACTTAATGATCTAAGTTTTGCAATGAAAAGGAAAGCCAGGAGAAAAACCACGTACCCACCATATACGACGTGTTTCGCCGTTGGTTAAGCGGCTCATCAGACATATATTGGCTATGTGGCTTTTCTAAGGTCGTATGTTGATAACTTGCACATATTTCGCCCTGATGCGAACATTGCATATGCGAATTAAATTCAAATTTGTCAAGGTTCCACATATGTCCTTTGCTGTCATGGTGTCATCAACAAAATGGGGGTTTCCAACTCCAGCTGCAGAAAAACACCCCCAAACATGACATTACCAATATGCTTAAATGTGACAATGAAATTATTATTCATACCCTTCAACACACTGTGGTACAGGGCATTATGTCTTTGTGCAAATGTTTGTAACAGGCAAAAGTAAACGAGATAGACACATGGTTCCTTTTGAGAATATGCATAGAATCACTTTCTGAGTCGATTTATGCATGTCCGTCCGTCCATGTATTCTTAAGAGCAAAGTACAGGTCGCATTTATGATTCGAATTGGATGAAATTTGGCACAACCCATTTATTTAGTCCAAGGACAAACCCTATTGAAATTTGAGAAAATCGCTTAAAATTTAAATATAGCTTCCATATATATTTTCGCCCGATTTTATCTAAATGGTGTGCCAAACTCCCAATATTTGTCCGATTGAGACAACATTTTGCACTGTGTACTGAATTAAGTTCAGTTTGATGTCTGTGAAGTTTTGTTAAACTCGGTTCAGATTTAGATATGTCTCCTATATATAGCTTCGTCCGATATTATGTAAATGGTGCACCAAATGTCGTCCGATATTATGTAAATGGTGCACCAAACGTAAGGAATTGTGACTAGGATAGAGTGTGTTAAGTTTCATTGAAATCGGATCAGATATAGATATAGCAACTATATATATTCAGACAAAATGTGTCATAACGTATGTAATTGACACTCGAATACGGTGTCTAAAGTTTCATTAAAATCGGATCAGATATATATATATATATATAGCTCCCATATATAGCTTCGTCCGATTTTATGTAAATGCAGAGTACTAAGTTAGATATAGCTTCCATATATACATATTTTCGTCCAATTTCATGCAGATGGGGCACCGAGGAGCTTACGTTTGGTGAAGTTACATAAAATATTGCAGAGTGTATTAGATTGAAACATTTTGAAATCAGCTTCCATATATATTTCCATCTGATTTATACTCTTCACCACATTGTGGTACAGGGTATTATGTCTTTGTGCATATGTTTGTAACAGGCAAAAGGAAACGAGATAGACACATGGTTCCTTTTGAGAATATGCATAGAATCACTTTCTAAGTCGATTTATGCATGTCCGTCCGTCTGTCTGTCCATGTTAAATTGTAAACAAAGTACAGGTCGCATTTATGATCCGAATTGGATGAAATTTGGCATATGTCACTTATTCGGCCCAAGGACGAACCCTATTGAAATTGGAAAAAATCGGTTCAGATTTAGATATAGCTCCCATATATATATTTAACCGATTTAATGTAATCGGTCCCTATATATCGTTCGATTTGCACGAAATTTGGTACAGCCTAATCATTTAGGTCTAGAATGATGTCTGCCAAGTTTCGTGAAAATCTGTCCGGATTTAGATATAGCTCCCATATATAGTTTCGTCCGATTTCATGTAAATGGTGCCCCAAAGTCTTTATATATCTTTCGATTTTCACGAAATTTGGCATAACGTATTGAATTAAGCCTAGAGTGATGTCTGCCAAGTTTCAAGAAAATCGGTCCAGGTTTAGATATAGCTCCCATATATAGTTTCGTCCGATTTCATGTAAATGGTGCACCAAAGTCGCTATATATCTTTCGATTTGCAGGAAATTTGGCATAACGTACTGAATTGAGCCTAGAGTGATGTCTGTCAAGTTTCAAGAAAATCGGTCCAGGTTTAGATATAGCTCCCATATATAGTTTCGTCCGATTTCATGTAAATGGTGCCCCAAAGTCCCGCTATATTCTTCGATTTGCAGGAAATTTGGCATAACGTACTGAATTGAGCCTAGAATGATGTCTGCCAAGTTTCAAGAAAATCGGTCCAGATTTAGATATAGCTCCCATATATAGTTTCGTCCGATTTCATGCAAATGGTTCCCCAAAGTCCCTATATATCCTTCGATTTGCAGTAAATTTGGCATAACGTACTTAATTGAGCCTTGAATGATGTCTGCCAAGTTTCATGAAAATCGGTCCTGATTTAGATATAGCTCCCATATATTGTTTCGTCCGATTTCATGTAAATGGTGCATCAAAGTCGCTATATATCCTTCGATTTGCACAAAATTTGGCATAACGTACTGAATTGAGCCTAGAGTGATGTCTGCCTTGTTTCGTGAAAATCGGTCCAGATTTAGATACAGCTCCCTTTTATTATGGATTGATTTCAAGTAATTGACGCACCAAGGAACTAATAGGAACAAAACGTTCTGACATTAGTATAACCTAACCTGTGACAAGTTTGTTTGAAATCGCTTAATATTTGGATAGAGCTTCCATATATATTTTCGCCTGATTTCAAGTAAATTGGGCTTCAAACTCCTCATGTTATTCAGATTGACATCAAATTTTGCACAACGTACAAAATTGAGCATAGAATTACAAAGTTCCGCCATTTTGTAAATTGTTGTGCGAAGTCAATAATCCTAATTCATACGAGAGCCAGACATGTACTCTTTCTAACACCGTTAGAATTTTCGGATTCCGATGTTCCACTGTGGAGTTATCATGCCCGCCATCAAAAATAAGGATATTTCTTTAATCACAAAAAACAAAAAAAAAAAAAACAAAAACAAAAAAGCAACAAAATTTTTTTGTAAATTATTTGTCTTCCTTTTTAAATCTTCAAATATATATGTGCAAAGTTACAAACCTTAACACGCATTGATATTCATTTACCAGCTCATTTAAAATCTTAAAAATAAAAAATCGAGAATGGGGGTTCCCTTAAAGGAAGTTTTGTAAATGCCAAATCTACCCCAAAGGTACTTTTTATAATTTAAATTTTTTTCTATTCATCTTTTAAAAACATTTGAAAAAAAACATGAAAAAGAAAACCATTAGTTGGTTTAAGAATTTTTTACTATGTGTATCTCCTTCATAATCCCAACATGACTTATTGTATGTTATTATCATCATCGTTCAATTTTGGTGCCTTCCCTTTACTGATTTAATATATGCTGATGTGCAAACACCTACTAAACGATGAATAATTGCTTCTGGTATATTAAAGAAACCATTTGTATAAGTATATCTACCCTTATTAGTTAAGAAAATGCTTTAAAAAGAATACAAACATTTTTCAAAAGTTTTACTTTTTTGCAATGTAACGTGAACACATGATGCCAAAAACTTACCAAAGTGTAAATGCCGCAGGCAAAACTGCCTTTCCAAACATCATCCCAACAACAACAAGACATCAATAATACCATGGTGTCATCAAATTTGTTTTTTTTTATTTCTTTTCTTTTAATTTGAATTTGTATCTCCTGGGCTTTAAATAAATTTTTACTCCGTTAGTTTAAGATTTGAATGTTTTTGGGTTGCCGGTAAGGTTGTCGGCTGTTTAAATTCGAAATGTATTTTTTATGTAATTACTGAGGAAAATATTTGTGTCGATTTGTTTTTGTTACAAAGGCAACAGGATCACCCAACAACAAAAAAGGACTTTGTAACTTTTTATCGGTTACTTGGCGATGTTCGGTATGAGATTTTGGCATTGAATTTATTGTTCTTGTAAATTGTGTTTTTATTTGGATTTACTTTTTGTTTACATTTGGGGCAATTCAGGAAAAAAACTTTGTATTATGCGTGACACTTTTATCGCAAAAAAAACACACACACGTACACAACACAAACACTTTTTGTTCACATGGTGTATGCTCACACTCACACGTACACACATTGTTTAGATCTAGCTAACCGTGTGTCCCATATCCAATATTAAACACACTTCTTTTAACGTCAATAATCCATTTTACCGTCGAAGATTGTTACTGTCGCGCCGCTAATTTGATACTAAACAAATGCCGCCAGCTTGATGTCCTTTGTCAATGTTTATGAATGAAAAGCTTACGAACTAGTAGCCATGCGCAATTCACAGAGCTTTTGTCAATGTGTTTGTTTTCTTTTTTTCAAAAATATTATTTTACCGCCTGTTAGTAGACACGTGTAGCTTTATGTTGCCATTATTTATACCTATACTGCCAATTTAACCCATATAGCTCCAATGTTTTGTCCTTGCCCATGAGACTAAAGGGTGAATTGTTTTAGCTATTATTATTTTTTTTTATTTTATTATTATTTTTTTTATTTTATTATTATTATTTTTTTTGACAACACTGTTTTAACAGCTTTCAAACGTTTCATGTTTTGTTTCCTTGCCAAATATCTTCAGTTCTGAACAACATTTTATTCAATCAAGGGGTCCCCCGCCCCCCATTCTCGGTTTCAAAAAAATTAATTTTGTATTTTGATTTAATTCGAAACTACACTAAACAGCGGTTTGTGGTCAAAAATATGAGATATTCCAAAAATATTTTTTCAAAGGTCCGATGTTCCTGTGAGGAGTTATCATGACCGTCATCAAAAAAAGTGACTTTTCATTAAGCACAAAAAAACAAGAACAAAATATGGTAAATTAGTTTTCTTCCCTTTTAAATCTATATATATACAGTGGCTCCATCGAATAATCGGACAAGTGGTTGTCAGACATAATAATGCTATACATTTCAAAAAAATTGTCTAAATGTTTAGTTTTTTTCGCTTTTATTTACACATTACTTACTTATATTTCTGAACAATACAAAAAACAACAACTTTTCTAGTGATAACAGTAAATTTCGTCAGGAAAACAAAATTAACTCAATTTATTGTGTTCAACGCAAAATCGGACAAAGCAAAGTATCAATGTTAAAAAATGAAAAAATCGAGAAATTAATATTTAGTTGCATATCCTTTGTTGTCCAGAACGGCCTGTAAACGCTTCGGTATTGATTTGAACAAATTCGGGCATGCCACCGGCTCTATGGAGTTCCACGATTCCAGTAAAGTCTCCTTAAGCTGTACTAAGGAGTTAAATTTTTTTCATACACTCTTCTAGCTATTTCTTCCCAAAGATGCTCAATTACGTTAAGGTCTGGGCTCTGTGCAGGTGTTTGTATAAGTTTTGGGCAGTTATGGATCAACCAAAGCTTTGCAACACCTGATGTGTGCTTGGGATCGTTGTCTTGATAAAAGGCAAAGTTGTTCGCGATACCCAATTTGTCTGCACTTTGCTTTACATTTTGTTTTAAAATGTTGAGGTAGACAAATTTGTCCATTTTACCATCAATAAAATGCAAATTGCCTACTCCCACACACGACATGCAGCCCCAAACCATAACAGAACCTCCTCCGTGCTTATCAGTGGTTTTTGTATTCTTATGATTAAATTCAGCATTTGGCTTACGCCACACATACATCTTTCCATCTGACCCGTGCAAATTAAATTTGCTTTCGTCAGTAAACAGAACCTTAATATAATCAAAACTATTAATAAAAATGTATTTTAAGATGATCTGTCATCAAATTACCTGCTTCCAAAAATCTTCTGGTTTTAGTAAATACTCCTTTTGTCCGATTATGCGATGGAGCCACTGTATATATATGCAAAGTTTTCCAGCCCATTGAAAATCTTGAAAATTTAAAATCGGAAAGGGTGGGGCGGTCCCTTAAGACAAACCCATATTTATTTGTTAGATCCCGGCACAATGGCCCGGACAACATTAGATAAATACTTTTCAAAAGGAATTGTGGTAACGTGCGGACAATACAAATACGGAATACAAATTTCAGTTCGTTGTGTTAATCAATTTACATTAAAAAGGACTAAAATATATATGGAAGCTATAGCTAAATCTGAACCGATTTTCCCGATACTTATAAAACTTCACACTTGACCTAATTCATTACCCTATACCAAATTTCGTTCAAATCGAAAGTTATATAGGGACCTCGGGGCACCATTTACATAAAATCGGACGAAACTATATATGGGAGCTATATCTAAATATGAACCGATTTGCATGAAATTAAGCACACATCATTCTACACTTAATTCAGTACGCTATACCAAAATTCGTGCAAATCTAATGATTTTCAGGGACTTTGGTGCACCATTTACCTAAAATCGGGCGAAACTATATATTGGAGCTATATCTAAATCTGAACCGATTTTCCCGAAATTTAGCACACACCATTGTCGACTTAATTTAGTAAGCTATGCCTAAATTCGTGCAAATCTAATATTTTCAGGGACTTTGGTGCACCATTTACCTAAAATCGGACGAAAATATATATGGGTTCGTCCTTGGGCCAAACCAATGGGCTGTGCCAAATTTCATCCAATTCGGATCAAAAATGCGACCTGTACTTTGCTCACAAAAATACATGGACGGACGGACAGACGGATATGCATAAATCGACTCAGAAAATGATTCTATGCATATTCTCAAAAGGAAACATGTGTCTATCTCTATTCCTTTTGTCACAAATGATCAGTATTTTATTTTTAAGTCCCGAAAATAGTTCTGTCGCACCTTTTTAAAAAATGAAAAGATACTATTGAATGCTTAAAAACAAAAATATTGTTGACAGTCATAATAAACACAATAATTAAGTTGGGCTTGTATCCAACATTGTTAAGGGATCAAGGATATGACGGCGCGTGTAACATGCCAGGCAATTATAGTGGAGTGCAGGCCATTATTAAATGAAAATTCCATACTGCAGTATACATTCTTTGTTCCTATCACAATTTAAGTTTAAGTGCATCTTCGAAGATTTAAGAAATTCGAAGTACATATATTTTTTATTTAAATTGCTCATTTTTTCAAAAATATCCAAAATGGTCTGCTACTTTATGTAAATTATTTCGAGAAACTTCTGAATCTTTCAAACGACTACATTCATATTGTGAAACACGATGAGTTCAGCGGCATGATTTCGTACGAATATTAGGAGTCCATTATTATTATTTTTTTAATAAAAAGCGAAGAAACAGTTATGATCGATTTATAGCTCCTGGGCGATGTTACGACTGCTAACATGCCGGTAAACTTCGATAATTTCTCCAATTTTATCGATATTTTCGACGATCGGCCTATCTGTGCAAGGTGCATCTTTAACATCAAAAAATCCGAACGGAATCTACGAAACCATAAACAACATTCACATTTTTAGTCGTTTGGCTTGCATTTTCGTCTTGTCAAAGAAAAACAATAAAAGTCTTTGTTCACTTCCATTTTCCAAATGGCAACTTGGATTGCACAAGGCAACTTGTATTTTCCCCTATCGAACAACGAGAAATCAAATCGATCATGGTATGATAGACGGAAGGCATTCGTCCAGTGTTTTAGAAGCTCGATCCATCCGAGGAGCGAATATCGATTCGGACCATTGCCTTGTGGCAGCCAAGGTTCGCACACGGAAACTCGACGTCGAAAAGCTGCAAACATAACAGATAGCAGAAGCCTACTCCGTTCCACTTACCCAACTGCTTGACGAAAGCACCCCTTGTCGCGATGGCAGAAAATTGCCCTCTTCCTAAAAACTGCAGCAAAAGCAACACTTGGGTACCAAATACCACCATCAAGAAATCCGTTGTACGATCAGGAGTGTCGTAATGCTACTGATATGAAAAACGCAGCGTATAGGGCAACCCTGAAGACAGTAGCAACACACATGCGATGGAGAATTATCGGGAGAAAAGGGGAGAGAAGAAACGTATGTTCAGAAAAAATAAGAAAGAACAAGAAAAACTTGAGCAAATCGAGATGTACAGGAGTCAGAAATAAGTCCAGAAAATTTACCAACGAGTAAAACACCAACCGGAGGCTTTGGTGCTGGCACATCCACCTGTAAAGATGAAGAATGAAACCTGGTGACAGATACAGACAGCGTGCTAGGGATCTGGAAGGAACATTCTGAAAAACTTCTTCAGAACCAGTTATAGATGACGGTGTAGAGTGTATACCACCTAGCCAATATGAGGTCAAAATAGCAATAAATCGGATGAAGAATAATAAAGCAGCAGGTGCCGATGTGTTACAAGCCGAATTATTCAAGACTGGTGGTCAGATGCTGGTAAGGAGCATGAACCAGCTGATTAGTACAATTTGGCTAGAGAAATGCATGCCCAATGATTGGAACCTCTGCATCCTGTGTCCCGTGCACAAAAAAGGTGACAGGACCATATGCGCCAAGAATAAGTCTCCTTCCCGTCGTATATAAAGTGCTATCCAGCGTGCTGTGTGAACGACTGAAGGCAATGTTCAGTGACATTATTGGACCATACCAATGCGGCTTCAGACCTGGCAAATCCACCTTTGACCAGATTTTCACTCTGCGCCAAATCCTGAAAAAAACCCCTTGAAAAACAAATCGACACATTCCACCTATTCGTCGAATATAAAGCCGCATACGACAGCCCTATCCGTCCAGAGGTTTTTAAAAGCCATGTCTGCGTTTAATTCGACTATGCAGGATAACGTTAACTGACACAATATAAACAGTTAAAGTCGGAAAGTACCTCTCGGAGCCCTTTTATACGAGGATTCAGACAAGGTGATAATTTGTCGTGTGGCCTTTTAACATCCTGCTGGAAAAGGTCATACGAGAGACAAAGGTGAACAGAAATGACACTCTGTACACCAAGCAACACATGTTACTCGCCTACGCCGATGACATTATTTCAACAAATTGAGAAGGAGTCTGCCTAAGTGGGTCTGGCAGTAAACGACGAGAAGACCAAGCGCGCAAATCTACTGGACGCGCAAAACGTCCAGTAGACTTGCGCGGACCAACTGTGGACATTGAGAATTACAGCTTCAAGGTAGTTAAAGATCTTATATACCTTGGTACCGCCATAAATAAAACTAATGACTTTAGTTTTGAAATTCGTCTGAGTAAGCAACTCAAAAGCAAGGATTCCTCCCGCCAGACCAAACTTACACTCTACAAGACTCTGATACTACCGTACTGTTATGTGAATCTGAAGCATGAACATCATCGAAAATTATAGGCATCGTCCTTGACGATAACCTCATGCTAAATTTCTTAGCCATCCGCACGAAAGGTATGCCCTCTAATGTGGTAATGGTAATACTAAAGAATATCAGAATAGGACGTTTGGGTAGTAATTGTGGCCTCTAGAGCAATCAGAAAAACATACAAAACTAAAGTTTTTGTTCCATTTCATCCCCTAAGTATTTAACAACATTGCAGCAAAATTTGGTGAAGATTGGTACACAACTGTTTAAAAATTATAATGGACAGACATATGAACACACATGCCTAGATCGAGATATGAGGATCGGTATACTAAAAGGCGGGTCTTGAACCAATATTTCGTACACAAAGCTATAATACCCTTACAACATAGTTGCATAGGTCATAACAAGTCAAGGCTTCCAGGAGAAAATAAAGTAACCAACTCTCAAACACTCAAGTTGGAGGAAGGTATAAATATACTTACCAATAACACAAAATGCCAAACAGACACATCGGTTGAAATGATTGTCTAGGACCCTAAAGTGGGTGGAATCTTTCAAACATTCAAGATGGAAAATTCTGACCAATCGAAAATAAGGCTAAACCTATATTTTAAAATATTGGAAAAATATACAAATCGTCTGCATTCAATAGCCATATTTCTGAACACGAAATGACATTTGGTATGAAAGACGAGCCTAAAACCATTCAAATTCACCAAGAATCCAAAGCCACTTCGGTTAAAAATTCGCTTAAGACAATGAGTGTACAAAATAAATGGCGGGACTTGTATTTCCAAACAGGATCTCATATTGATTTCTGCCTATATATTTTTCACTCTACCAGGAATGGCAAATTACAGGCCCCTCTACACAATTTACCTTGGAAAATATAGATTTGAGAAGTAGTAGATATTACACATTTTAGATTTTATTGCATATTTATTTATAACATAATTTTATTTTATAATATAAATAAAAAAACATATATTGGCACAATATTATTCATTTAATGGCAGCAACATCAACAGCTCGGCACCATTACCGGGGCAGGTAGCAAAAACTACATTTTCAATTGCTTTGTATTGTAATTTTTCCTTTGGTAACTGTGAATAGTATTTTTCTTTCAAAGTCTCGATGTATTTATTCGAAGATGCCACAGAGTCACACAAGGCCACAATGCATCCTCCCCACCTAGAGGATATTCAGATTAGAAATTGACAAATACTGCATTTGGGTGTGTGTGTGTTTTCTACTTACCCAGCACCGGTTAATCTTGCACCAATGCCCATTTGTTGTGATATTTCAACTAGTTTATCTAAATTCGGATGAGAACATTCATATAGAGTTTTCAAACTGTCATGAGATTGTCTCATCAATTGCGATAGTCTGGCAACTGCAGAGTCAAAGGCGGAATCAGTATTGCCATTCGTATGAATGCCATTGGAATGTACATCATTTAAGGAGAACTGCTCACAAATTGTACGAAATTCTTGGACTCGAAGGGATTCTGGGAAGAGATGGGTGATAAATATTTTTAACATATTTTTGTATTTATGTTTCTTTTCATATTTGACATACCCTGAATGACATGTAAGGTTCGTTGTTTTAACTTAAACTGTTGCATATTGCGGGTATTTTCCGTTAGGAAATCTTTTGCGAATTCTTCATCGGTTACACCAAACACATCACATAATTCCGTACGTGTGTAAATATCCTGGGAAACATATTCTAATGCATAAGATTCTAGTTGAGCTAAATCACACATCAAAGTTTCCTGAAGTTTGACAAATACGTGGATATCCTTCCAATTGTTAAGGTGTGATTTGAGGGCAATTAAACGGCAACCCAAACGACATTCAACAACACGTTGATTAAAATCTGATGTGGCAGCCTTATTCATTTCGGCCAAACTATTGGCAACTACAAAGCAAGCACCCTCTGGCAACTGTAAAGGGGTGGCATTTAAACTCGGATGAAATTCAATGAATTGAGCACATCCTTCTTTGGCCAAATATGCAATAGCCTGATCCATACCACCTCCTTGGGTTCCAATGTAACGTTCACATGCTGCCGATATGGATGCCAGCGACTTGCGGTTAAGCGTTTCATGATGAACATAAGCCGTAGCCAATACTGCACTGCTGACCAGTGCACTCGAACTTGATACTCCCGATGCGGGTGGAATGTTGCCGTTGATGGCCACGGTCATGCCATACCTTTGGTCGTTATCAGCTAATTTTTCTAAAATCCCCTTAACACCACACAAGTAGTAATTGTACCACGGTGGCGGGCAAGAATTCTTATGAATTATTCTAAAAATTAAGAATCGATAATTATAACATTATATTTAAAGGATACTTTTTTGTTAAACTTACTGTAACTCTTTGAGGTCAATTGAGAAATCTTCGTATTTTTTCTTTTCCATATTTCTAAGCTGCAATTGGGTATTCTCTTCAGTATATCCAACCGCTAGCAGTATACACTGATCAATAGCCATGGGTAGTACCGGATAACCACAATAATCAACATGTTCGCCAATAATATTTATTCTGGAAAGATAAACGGAGGAAAATTATATTGTTTTATTAACATCAACCTAGACTTAAAACTTAATATTTGAATATTTTATTTAAACTTCTAATATAAGGGTACCTCACAATTTCCGGAATTTATTCGGTTTTGAATTCATTTTCCAAATTGATGATTTCGGATAGCGTATACAAATTTTCTGTTTTGTGTCAAGGTGTAGTCAAAAGATTAACAAGGAGGCGAATCCGAAGTCTTCATTGACTGTCAAATATAGCATTTCCAGATTAAATGAAACCTTTTACAAATTAAATGAACCCTTTTCCAAATTAAATGAAACCTTTTCCAAATTAAATGAAACCTTTTCCAAATTAAATGAAACCTTTTCCAATTGAAATGAAACCTTTTACAAATAGAATGAAACCTTTTACAAATAGAATGAAACTTTTTCCAAATTAAATGAAACCTTTATTCTTATCCAAGGAAATATAATATTTGCAGTAATTTTAAACCAATATTTGAAAATTAAATCAAAGAATATTAACAAATATTCTTTAATTCGGTGTGATTTCATTTAATATCTTTACTACATAAAACTAAATAAATAGTAATACAAACTGCGGTATTTCTTGACATTTTAATAAATAAATATTTTAGAACAAGAATTGAATATCCGGTCCTAAATGCGAAATACATATTTGATTTAAAAACTTGTTGATGATAAGGTAACTGCTTATCTTAATGAAGAGGTTCCCGACTTGCACCTTGTGGGATTTTCAAAACCATGTCCATAACGTAGTTAGAATTATCTTGCCGAGTAAGCTGTTGAATACTTCGCTCGATTACATCAACAATGTTATGTTCCATTGAAACGTCACACAGCTCAGCTCTTGCACATAATTTTATTTTTGAAAATGCATTTTCGATTGGATTTAGCATTGGAGAATAAGGCGGTAAGAATTTAAGGTTGCATCTTTTGGATTCGATCAAATTTTGTATGTCATGTCGCTTATGTATTTGAGCGTTATTTTCCAACTCTGGATTGATTTTCTCAAAAAAAAATTTCTATAAATAATTTAAATCTGTCTGCATTGACACTGGAATTAGAAACGGTTGTGTGATGTACAACTCCCGCGTTGTTTATTGCTGCAATTATAGTGACATTACGACCTCTGACCGTAGGCATCACATGTGTCCTCTTGTTTCTTGTGTTGAACGGGCTTGGATTATTCGTAGGTGAAGACTAAATCCACACTCATCAATGAATATTGTTGGGGTATCCATTTTGTAAAGTCTTGAGCATATTTTTGTCTCAAGCCTAATGTTCTGGAGTCATTCATTCGTTCTATTTCACTAGATGCCATCTTCAACGTAATTTTTAATTTCCGTAATCCATTTTCTATGGAGCTTGTGGAAATATTTATATCATTTTCTCTCAACAGTTTAGTTTTTATGGCTTTGAGGGCAATTCCAGGTTGACTTTCTAGATATAACTCGATCAGAGTTAAAACTTCTGGTGTCAAAAATTTAGTTCTATTTCCTCCACGCTTATTTTCCTTCCAGAATTTCTTTTTGTATCTTCTTATTAATGCTTTTGCTGAACTTACTTTTATGCAGGTTAAATTTGCAGACTCGGAAATTGTTCTACCCTCTTCATACAATTTACATAATAAAAATTTCATGTCTTTTATTATTTTGTTATACTGACAAAATTTGTTTCGGGGTCTTGTAGATGTAGCTTTGGTAAGTTCTGGAGCATTTCCACTTGTAATACTTGGTGAGGTTATAAATTCTTCTTCAGATTCCCAATTATCAGAGGTTCCCGAGCTAAAATCAGGTTAGCTCCTAATTATTTAATTGTGTATGGCTACCTATACAAAACTCTACTAAATGAATGACTCCAGAACATTAGGTTTGAGACAAAAATATGCTCAAGACTTTACAAAATGGATACCCAAACAACGATCAATGAATATTGGGGATACCCCAATCACACAATAATTTCTAATTCCAGTGTCATTGCAGACAGATTTAAATTATTTATAGAAAGTCTTTTGGAGGAAATCAATCCAGAGTTGGAAAATTCGTTCTTGATAATCGATAACGCTCAAATACACAAGCGACATGACATACAAAATTTGGTCGAATCCAAAAGATGCAACCTTAAATTCTTACCGCCTTATTCTCCAATGGTAAGTCCAATCGAAAAAGCATTTTTAAAAATAAAATTATGTACAAGAGCTGAGCTGTGTGACGTTTCAATGGAACATAACATTGTTGATGTAATCGAGCGAAGTATTCAACAGCTTACTCGGCAAGATAATTCTAACTACGTTATGGACATGCAAGTCGGGAACCTCTTCATTAAGATAAGCAGTTACCTATTTATTAAAATGTCAAGAAATACCCCAGTTTGTATTACTATTTATTTAGTTTTATTTAGTAAAGATATTAAATGAAATCACACCGAATTAAAGAATATTTATGTTAATTACATAGCCATACAACTATATTTGTTAATATTCTTTGATTTAATTTTCAAATATTGGTTTAAAATTACTGCAAATATTATATTTCCTTGGATAAGAATAAAGGTTTCATTTAATTTGGAAAAAGTTTAATTCTATTTGTAAAAGGTTTCATTCTATTTGTAAAAGGTTTCATTTCAATTGGAAAAGGTTTAATTTAATTTGGAAAAGGTTTCATTTAATTTGGAAAAGGTTTCATTTAATTTGGAAAAGGGTTCATTTAATTTGTAGAAGGTTTCATTTAATCTGGAAATGCTATATTTTTTTGGACCAAAATATATGGGCACACTGCTATCATTACGTTTTTATTTTATTTATTTTTTTTTAAGATATTTGGATTTTTTAATACCAACCACAACAGGGGTTGGTATTTCGCGATTTAAACGTTGACACCAAGAGCAGACTAAGCCATGAATTCGCCACCCGGTAGACCTTATTTAATAAGCAGGCCCATGTATTGTATTGTATTTTTTCCTTCTTATTACGCACCTTTACGATATTATGGTTAATTTTAACGTATTGCATTGAATTCAACATTAATTAAAACTCACCTTCCCGGGACACGAACATAAAATTTTGGTTCTGATCCATACTCATGACGATAAAATTCCCGTAGTTCATGCAAGCGACCATACAAGCGATGGCCTTTTGATATCTCTGTGATTGACACATAGGTGTCGCTAGTGACGTCAGTCATGGTGTTCTTCATGATCTTAGCTTGAAAAAACGTAAACAATAAATAAAATTAAACTTTTTGTTGAAGTCCTTGAAATATCTTTAGTTGTGTTAAATTGGGTCAAAATTCCATAAATTTCATCATTATGTGGTATATGGATTTCTAAAAAATATAATATTTAAATTTATAATAATAATAATAATAATATGTTTACGTATTTTTTATAAGACAAACTCACAATGACCAAAATGCTACATTATAATTGATCTCTAAAATCAAATTTATTTTTTAATTTCTTATCAAGAAGGATGTAATGTCGTTTCAGATCGTCGTGGAAACGTAAACCCTCTGTCGTGGAAACGTATCTTTGTGTAAAATTGTCATGTTGTTTGCTATACCTCGAAATAACTTGGCTGTAATTTGGCGTTTTTGTTTCCTAATGTATAGCGAACCTCCGTAACAAAAATGATTAATATTGATCAAAGTTTCGGGATAGCCACCATATAGAGGTACCCCCATTATTCGGTATTGATACCCCTCCCCACACTGTGGTTCGATTTTATGTAAATGATGGTTACACGAAATTTGGCAGAGGGTATTAAATTGAATGTAGTGATTACAAAAAACAAATTATGTACGCAACGGTTACTCAATTAGGTCCATGTGTTTATATACAGCTCCCATACATAATTTGACTCGATTTCATACAAATGGTACACCAAAGAATTCCAAGACTGTCCGTTTGACATGCAATTTTTTATTGATTTCAGAATGGTGTGTGTATGGGGTTTTTTTAATTGGTTGAAATGCCTATCTAGATAGAACATTTAATTTCGTCCGATTTCATCTCAATGTAAAGTGAATAACAATGGACATGAACACGATACCATTCTGATGGTATATCATTTCTCGTCTAGTGCATATTTTTGCCATCATATGCGATTTGGGCGTATCGTCGTTCCTAGGCTCCAATTGTCCGCTTGAGCAGTATTTAATAAACAAACGCTGTTGTAAAAACAATTTATCTACTATGTCTATATTTTAACAAATTCAAATTAAGCTTTTTATTTTTGAAAAAATGGCAAGCATTTTTTGAGACAATCTATACCGGTTACAAGTAGTTTGAAACTTGTTAATTGTAATGTTTATAATTCTTCGATCATAACTGAGCTGTTATCCGCCGTAAGCCCACTGTGGTACAGGGTATTATGTATTTATGCATATGTTTTGTAACAGACAAAAGGAAGCGAGAAAGGTCCATTGTTCCTTTTAAGAATATGCATAGAATCACTTTCTGAGTCGATTTATACATATCCGTTCGTCCGTCTGTATATGTTAAATTGTAAACAAAGTACAGGTCGCATTTATGATCCGATTTGTATAAAATTTGGCAAATTTTTGCGCATGGACGAACCCTATTGAAATTGTGAAAAATCTGTTCAGATTGCTCCCATATATATTTTCTTCCGATTTAATAGAAATGGTCCACTATAGTTCGATTTGAACGAAATTTTGCACAGCGCACTGAATTGAGTCTAAAATGATGTGTGCAAAGTTTCGTGAAAATCCCTTCAGATTTAGATATAGCTGTTATATATATTCGTCCGATTTAATGGAAATGGTCCACCATAGTTCCTATATATCTTTCGATTTGCACGAAATTTGGCATAGTGTACTGATTGAGTCTAGAATGATGGGTGTAAAATTTCTTGAAAATCACTTCACATTTAGATATAGCTCTCATATCGCTGGCTTAACTTGTAAAAGCGGCAAGTCCATATTTCACAATTTTTCAGGAGAGACAAAAAACAATCAAACTTTCTTTTGAATAAAGATTTTTTAAATCTGAAAATGCAATTTGTTTTTGTATTGTATGTGTAATTTAATTGCGTAAAGGCAACATGAAAAAAATAAGTATTTGCGGAGATACACGCCTTTTTTGGGACTTAGAGCTTTTTCTGTCGCTAAGTTTGCATGTTTTAATGGACTTAGGTATTTTTCTTACAACTTGTCTATCATTATATTTTCTAATTACTGCAATAATTTTGATTTTGTATATGTTAATATTATCTAAAAGAGTAAAGATTGTTTTGGAATAATATTTCATTCAAAAATATGAAGAAACCAGTAAAAACGTCGCTATTTAGGCTGGTCGAATATTGGGGATAACGTTATATGGGCGGTACCCTAAAAAGTGGACCAATATTGATAAGTTTTTGTTGTAAGGTAAGCTACCCCACAAGTACCTAAAATATCAAATTACAGTCAATTCGGCTAAAAATCATGTCCAAAATCTTCAAAATAAAAAGTGGACTTACAGCCTATACATGATGTTAAGCCAGCGACAACAATAACAAATGAGATAACTCTATTTTTTTTTTGATCGATGTATTTTGCCTCTTTATACATAACTGTATCAAAATCTCATTTTCTCGAAAATTGGACTTGTTGCCTTTACAAGTTAAGCCAGCGATATATGTTCGGCCCATTTAATGTAAATGGTGTACCAAAGTCCCTATATATGCTTCGATTTGCAATGTTGCACCAAAGTCCTTATATATCTTTCGACTTCCACGAAATTTGGCACAGCGCAGTGAATTGAGCCTAAAAATTTGTGTGCTAAGATTCGGGAAAATCGGTTCCGATTTAAATTTATCGTCCGATTTAATAGAAATGGTGCACTAAAGACCCAAAGTTTGTACAATTGACACACCATTTTGTACAATGTACTGAAGATAATACAAATTAGTCTCTTACAAATTTCATTGAAATCGGGTCAGATTTAGATATAACTTTCATATATATTTCAAAAGGGTGTCTGATTGAGATTAAATTTTGAAGAGTGCGGCCTACCGGATAGCGTGTGTCAAAATGCTCTAACTCGATTTACATAAATTTGCCCCATTATAAGCTAAACGCTTTAAACTTCCCCAAATGAAATTTTTTTAGCATTGGTTTCAGATGGCAATGTTCTTTCGCATATGTAGAATATACCCAAAATGGTGAAGGTTATCATATAAACGACCCAGTTCGACTTTACTGATTTCCTTACCGGTTATAATTAAAACTCCAAATGTGTACTTTTCAGTGTGATTCACTATAGTCTACTGAACTATTGCTATTATTACGAACACCACTGCTTACACTCATTAATACCAGTTCATAATACGTTATTGATTTGTTGCAACAACGTCCACATGTGTGTCTGTTTTCAGCGTGATTTTATCGCGTCATCTCTTTCATACAACAACAAAGAAGTAGAAAGAATAATAAAAAACAAATAAAAACAAGTTAGTAAACAAAACAATGACCTGCCGTCGTCGACAGGTACACACACTACGTCACAACAACAAACACGTGATGAAGAAAGTAGACGTATCTTTTAACTTCAAATTAGTTATTTAACATGGAGAGAATTCAATGTTTAACATTTATTTGGCGCGTTCTCTTGTTTTTGCACACACGCACGCACTTTATTATTTTTTTCTTATTTTGTTTTTGTGGAATACTAACAGTATCTATCGTATTTTCTTTTCTGTTTTATGTTTGAATTTCGCTATGAGAGACAGAAAGAAAGGTGGGCATATTCTGACAATCAGCTGTTTGTTTTACTTTGCACTCTCTTTATTCTTGTGTATTTTCTTGTTTCGTGTAGTACGATGTACTGCTCATAATACAACGTGTCGCAAATTTTCAGTTATTGTTGTGAAAATAATTTACATTTCTCCCTGGATGTTTGTCTGCCGAATAATTACAAAACGGTGATAACGACGAATGCATCGGTAGCGGGACACACTTGCTTACTATTGTAAAAACAACAGTTGTTAAAGAATATCTTTCCACTTACTCGACGGAGTGTATAACAGCCGTATTTTATTATTTATTGTGCTCTTTTTTTGCTTGATTACCGTGCGGTCTGTTCGCGTTTGATGCACTCCGTCTGTTGCCCTGAAGATGACTGAATTCTGGATTGTATCGCTTTGAGTGTTTTGTATTCTTGCGCTGAGATTGCCATACAGTTTGTTAGAGCGTATCTGAATGTGGGAAAGTGAAAGTAGCTGGGTCGAGTTTGTTGGCGGGAAGAAATTTAACAACCACTATGTGATAAATTTTAAATCAACGATTGATTACCATGGGTGCATGAATTACAACAAGTATTATTGGGCCATTATGGGCCAGAGATCCCATTTTTGGCTATAGTTAAAGCAGTGAGTTTATGAAATAAATCAATATGACATATAAAGGTCAAAATATAAATTTATGAAAAAATTAGAAACATATGTTTACCTGAGACTACCTTGTATAATTATGCCATTGAAATTTCACACCCAATGAGAATTTTAAATTACAGGCAATTTGGTTGAAAAATGTGTCCCAAATCCCCAAAATACCGAATATTTGGGGTTAAAGCTATACACCAAACCGTCGACGTCGACCGAAATATCCTATTCAAGTTCTCATTGCATAACACATTTTCGTACCAAGCATTATTAACATCTACCCAAGTTTCAGGGTAGGCCCCAATATTCGGCATTTAGTCGATTTTCGACACTTTAGTATTTTGGATTCTTACTGTTTATCACATTTCCATACAAAACATTATTAATATTGACCTAATTTTCAGGGTAGCCCCCACACAACGGCACCCCTGTATTTAGGGGATTTCCGACACGTTTTTTCAACCGAATTGGCTGTAATTGAGTATTTTCGGTAATCATTGAATAATACATTTCCGTAACGAAAAATTATGTATATTGACCCAAGTCTCCGGGTAAGACCCATATAACGATACACTCCATTATTCGGTATTTTGGAGTTTTGGGACACTTTTTTCAACCGATTTGGCTATAAATTAGTATTTTTGGTTCTCATTGCACGCACCAAAAATTATTAATATTTATAAAATTTTCAGGGTAGGCCTCATATAACGACACCCCAACATTCGATATTTTTTTGACACTTTTTTCAAAAAAATTGGTTGTAATTTTTTATTTTGGGTTATCATTGTGTAAGTCTAGTCC